GTTTCCTCTAACAGCTTTTCATTGAAAATTCAAAATTACAAAATATCAAACTTTCAAAAGTATCTCTGTCGAAAAAGTAGCTATTTTTACTACAATTGTATCCAAACGCACTAAAGTGAGTAACCGAAAAAGCCGAGATTGGGGCAGATTTTAGTTCACTTTGAATGATCGGTACGATTAAGTGATATACTGTCAGTATGAAATTTCTGATTATTCTAAATAGCAGTAGTCCAAACTACATTTGGCAGTAGCTGAAGTAATGTATCGAATCAACGAATATATAGAACCATTTTGTGAGTTTGCGTATATGCATAACGATTATGAAGATCTTTATTTCATACAACATATACATATATACATTTTTATTTATTTATATTAACGTTCAAATTTTTAATTAATTATTACCGAGCATCTGCTATATAATTCTCTTATACAAAGAGATACATACCGTATATACCACATAAATTATCATTCAAAACACATTTTTTGTAAAAAATTGGTCGTATAGTGTAGAATTAAATAAGTGGAAATAGTGACGTACTGCTATGGTGATCAGTGATGCTTCCACGCCATGCAATGATGATCGTTTCGTTGCTCATCTATGGAGACCTGCTGCTGAGAAGTCTGAGCCTTGAGTAGGTGCATGTTTCTATTATTAATTTAATTGTCTGATAAATAGACTCTTTTTTTCTTCTTAATGCTAAAAGTTGCTTGCTTTCCATCGTTCACTGTTTGATGAGTAGATCTCTTCCACTTTCTTCTCGGTCGCGTTATACCGGTGAACGGGTTACAAATGTAGCATTATTTGCCATAATTTTATGGCAAATAATGTTGTTTTTTACTGGCGCAATTTGCGATAACCGGTCTCTTAACTAAGTGATCCGCGCACATCATGTAGATGACATCGGGAGACATTCTTCCATGGCAAACAAAACGATTCAATTCTATTTAGATTTCCAAGCTGCTTCAGGCACAATCCCTTCGTGTCAACGATGTTTGCAACATGGCATGAAGGGATGAAAGTGCCCTTTATACTTCGGTATCGACCGGATCTGGAAATATGTAATTTTTTTGTGTAGCATTGCTACACATTAAGACAGACTGAACCATATACAATAATGCCACACAAGTGAATAAGAAACTGCAAGAATTCAGTAAAAAACAATTTTCTTGAGAATAAAACCTACTACTAGGTGTGTGGAAGGCGGAATATGACGTCCACGTCTCCATAATCACTTTAAGCGCTTGACTACCTGAAAGTATTAACTATTGAACAGCCTGTAAGGAACAAGATCAAACGTAAAAAAGACGTAACATTTGCGATGATAGTTCCTTAAATTATGCAAAAAGGTCAATGAGTACGAGGTTCTGAAGACAAGGAATCATAATGAAGTACAAATCACAAACACAAGTTCACAAGATATATCTAAGCGCAATGCGTAAGGCTCGCCACCTGTCACTACCTGTAGCTGATCAGAGAATGCGATAGTAAGTCTGCTTGGCATCTGTCCAATGCAAATGAAACGAATATGCGCACATGCCTGCAAATTCCATTTCATTCCGTATATTTGCACGTGTTTTCCTTACTTCAAATTTAACTTGTCAAGCGTGAACTAGCTATGACACACGCCGTCTTCCATAAACTGTTTGAGACGGAATGAGGTCTGAGCAAATGTCTGATTTTTTTATCCAGTCGTTGAAGACTAATCTAAACGAGCCTATTTTTATTCTGGCTCTCTACTACTGACAGATGTTGAGAAGATTGGCACTCTAATAAGATTAAAGTTTCACTCTACCATATTACTGATGTGCTCAACAGTTTTTTCCTTCTTTAGAGTCAGAAGTCGTAAATAATTAATTGATGTTATTTTTACATGCACATACAATACACTTTTTCACAGGATGATCGTAACCTTGGTTTGATACTTTTTTTGTGTCTGCACCACACTTGGCACCATGTGTCGTTGCTCATTCGATGTTCTTTTAGAATTCGGTCCGGTTTGTCGAGAAAATGATTTTTGATTGCATGTAGATAGAGTGTTTGCTGGAGGTGCAACGATTTGTCCTGAATTCCGACCGCTAATAGATGGGATGAGTTCCAATACTAACCGTAATGAATTGATGCTCTAAACCTGATAAATTTAGAAATCACTTTAAACGTTTTCAAACGTAATACTGATGCCTGCGCTTTTAACTTGTTTAATTGAAGATGAATAAATTTAAAGGTGAAAATTCGCTGTAAGCTGACATAAGCTCTGTTAGTTAACCCCTTATATTTGCAACATAGCTTGATAGACTTCTCATCACTTTTTTTTTATTTACAGAAATGATGATAATAATAAATAACAACGATAATTATTATGATACGCAAATAATAATATATATATGGTATCAATTAAAACGATGGTAATAAAGTGGAAAATGTCAAAAATATAATTTATAACAGCTTCTGCTCTAATTAATACAGATATTATTCGTTTTCATAATTCGTTTGCTTCACTTTATTATTATTTGTTCCGATTTTTATATTCACTTGCATATTTATTATTCCCACCACACTTTCTTTTTCTTATTATTTTACACGTATCATATAATTTTTTACACTTTTTCTTTTTGATTTAGATCTTCTTGAACTCATTCACATACTCATAAACTACTCATCTCAATACTTCATTTTTACCTTACAGGGAATGAGTAACCGAAATAACTTTTCTATCCCTGCTTCAGTTAGTCAAAGAAAATGTAATGGATATGTATACTGGAAGAGCGAATTTAAATCGCATATATTCTAATTAGGTCGCATTTTATTTCGAATTTTGTCTGTTTCCTATCAACTTGTGGTTAGTAGCACCGTAATACAGAACAAAGTTTTGCCAATTATCTAACTCATAGTTTTCAAAAGCTAGTCTCAATCAACATGATTAAAATGCACTTTATCTATAAGGGATTATTTTTTTCACAATGATCCCAGCAAATTGATGTTTAATTGAAGTTATTGCATTCTGGTTGATTTTCAGGATTTTGGAGAAATTCTTTATTATGCTCACGTAAACTTGATCTAATGCTGTGTATTTTAATTGGACGGTTGTCACTCAAGCTTCAGTAGCATCTAACTGAATTTGGTAACTATGTTTGGCTGTCATGAAATTTATTATATTCTCGTAAAAATCCCATGTTAAAACAGAGCAGTTAAAAAATGAATTTCAATAATTTTGCATGTTTAATTTGTCCTTTGATCTGAAAAAGCACACACACATCTAATTCAATTTTGTTCCACAACTCTAGAATTTCCATCAGCATATGATTGCGATTTTTGTCATTAAATAGGATTTAGGTCTCTGTTGTTTAAATGAGAGGGATGTTTATCACATTTCTAAAGATGTAACCTGCTTTAGCTGTCATTTTTGTTCGTTTTCTTCTGTAATTGTCCCAAGAAGGCGATTGTATTATGATCATACTTTGGTACGCTTAATTCTTTGCATTCGTGTACATAATTTTAAGTGCAATCGAATGATGGCATCTGAGGTAGCGATGGACACAAAAGCAGTGCGATTAGCTCAGGCACGAAAAAAGGTCTTTTTTACATTTTTTTGGCTGTTTCATAAAGTATTCTGGTGCTTAGTTTTTATCTGTTTAGTCACTATCGTTATAAAATTTTGATTGCATGTTGCTGGAAATGAAAAAGCTGTTCAGACTAAATTTTCGTAAATAAAGATTTATGTAATGTTTAATCTAAATAACCATGCTGCAATAAATCAGGAGCTTTAAAACTCCTAATAATTGTCTGAAACATTATCAATAACGTAGTAATGAATAATCAGAAATTAATAAAATGATGCTTAATGAATTACACATGTTGATTTGATTATAAAGTGAGTTATCTTGTCTTGATTTTTTCTTGGTTCTGAAAATGATCAGTTCATTATAATCGTTAAACTATAATGTGAAATTAATTAGCTTCCATAAATAGAGCTGTATTTTTTCATAGTTACGAGATTACCAGTCAAAACAGCGAAATGGAAACGTTGACTACAACTCATCGTCTTCTCCAAGTGTTTCTAGTTTGACCGATAATAATGGCCGACAATCTGTTCCAAGCAGTCGTAATATATTCCTGCTTTTTTTGTAAAAACGTTGAAATAAAATGAATCTATGTGCATTTCTTGTGGGTACTCCAATTAGTAAATGAAGCCATTTTCTTCTCTTTCTATTTCTTTTCGCAATCCGTCATATTTCACGTTAACGAATCACATTTAAGAACAATATAATGAAGTAGAAATGAGAAATTCGTGCGAAAAAAATGGAACAAAATCAGTTAATTCCCTATTGTTGACGGCACAAAATGGCATGGGTGTTCATGTTCCTAATGCAAATACAAATTCTTTCAACAGTGACGGTATGCACGAATTTCAACAAAACGGAGAATCAATTATAGTCCCGAATGCAATGGAGGATATCACTAATTTCAAGGTTTTATCATATAAATCAAGCTGTTAGCAAAAACGCATTTGACATATTCATGCAATCACCGTAGAACTTCATGCAATATTTGACTTGATTGATTAGCATGGAATATCAGTTTTGTTTGTGCCTTTAAAATCATTACTTTTTTGAATGAACTGATCCGGATAGCTGTTAGTTATAGCTATCTGTATTTTGCATAGTAGTTTACTCACAAGTTCAAATTATCTTCCTCCGCACTTTCAAAAAAGTATGTAAATGATTATAATCACTTCAGATAGAACACTTTTTTGGCTACACGTAAAATTTTTATCTTAACATAATTAATCTTTACAGTACACTACAAAAATAACTATTTGAAATTTAATTCTTAAGATCTTAGCTATTTTCTTCTACCGCTCTGTGTCAAGTTGCTTTCCCCTCAATATTCATGTTACATGTCGACTATAAATTTTATCGTCTTTGTTGGCGAAAAACTTTTTTTGAAATTCAGAATATTATGGAAAAAAAGTATTGTTATAGCAGGAATATTTTCAAATGAGAGAAAAATTGTTCATAGAAACGAAAGAAAAAGAACAATTGGCTTCTCAGCTTGCGGAATTGGTGTGTTGTGAGATTTTCTGTTTTTCATTCATTCAAAGAAAAAGAATTCTTAAGTTCGTCATTTTTAGTATTGCGTTTTATAAATCAATTTTTAGATGACACTGTGCCTAATATGTAGCAAGTGTAATAATGTTTAAAAATTGGTGATCATATTAAATATTAATAGATATTAAAAGTTATAGTTGAAAAAAAATTTCGTAAAATTGATTTTAATTAACATTCATTGTTTCATGTGTGAAGTACTTTAGATTGGGCACTATACTCAGATTCATACTGCTTATACGAAACTTAGTGAATTTACAAAAAATGATGTGGAGGAATCTGCCCTGAGAACTCAACTAATTCATTTGCAAACAGTTTGTTTACAGTATATAATTATCAACCTTATAATTCTCTTGAATTTCTAACCATATCAAAGTGAATATATTTTAGGCAATGAGTGTTGTCGTGAAGGAAAAAACAGCTTTATTACAGCAAATAAGAGAAAAGAGTGAACTACTCTACAAACAGAATGAACAGATTCGTAATCTTACGGTGCGAAGTTTGACCCGACATTATTCCGGAAATAATCATTTACTGCAGGCTACTATGACTTCTCTTATCTGTTTTCTAAACCTGCGCTTAAGAACAAATATTTTATAGACTGAAATGTGTCAGAAAAATTCGCAAATTTCGTCATTAGAGACAGATATTCAGTTGCTGCACGAAGAAACCAATGCATTAAGCCTTGCAATTCAGAAGCAAACGGAACAGGCAGAGAATAATCAAAAAGAAGCAGTTAACTGGCAAAATGAAATACTTCGTTTGCAGCAAGATCGAGATGATGCTAAGGTTTTTGTTTCTTGTAAGCACTGTTATTGATGACCTGTTGTTGATTCCTGGAATCACATGTCAATGGATTGCACTCCTAATTCTGTTTTAATAACATTTCGTATCTCCAGTACAAACTTTTTAAAAAATTGCATGTTGCCTTAGAATATGATCGCTGACTTGATTCTTATATTATATATCGTCTTTATAGTAGTTTTTTTTTAATTTTTGATGCAAGACACCTTTTTACGTCTGTTATGCAAGGTTTTAATATTTAAAAATATTGAAAAATACTAGAGAAATGAAGTGAACTAAAATATTAAAAACTAAAGTGTCTTTCCTCTCCTTGACTACAAGCATCAGGTTTCACTGTTAACAGTTGTAGATCAAATTGTGTAATTTACGAAATAGGCAAAAGATTCAGGAACGATTGAAAGTTTGCATGAAAGAATCTGAGGCCGCTCTAGCTGAACTTGATAGAGCTCGTAAATTATTACACATGAAGGATATTTATCTTCGTCAGATAGGTGCATATACAGGTGTCACGGCTTCAGTTGAAAACGGTGTCGACAATTTAGTTGGTAGGTTGCATTACATTTTTAAAGTCGATTTTTTTCACTGTTGGGAATTTTTCAGCTTTTTAGAATAAAATTTCTGGCTTGATTGCTATATAAATCTTTGTATTAAAAAAAACTAATTAAATGAACTTTTTGATTAATTGAAGCCCTTCGAATCTGGTGATCTTTAACAATAAATAGCGAAAAAGCTGTTCATTATGATCTATAATAAATTCTAATTATTATTCTGTTATTGCAAATATGTGTCGTACTTGTAGACGAAGTAGAGCATTTGAGATCTGCGCTAAAAAAGTCATCAGAAGAGGCGGAAAGGTGGAAAAAAGAAACGCAGTTAGCTCGTGAACATTATGAATCTTATGGTGCACAATTAAATCAAAAAATTGTTTTGGTAAGCTCTAAGGTACGAATAATGATATCTAAGTTACTCTTACATTGGGAAATGGTATGGAGTAGGTTGTTGTTGTTTCAAACAATGATGTGTTTTGACGTCTTCTGCAGTTGGAAGAAGTGTCAAATGTAAAAATGGCTTTGGAATCAAAAGTTCAGGCTTTAGAAAATCAAGTGGAATTGTTGGAAACCATGGCGAAAAAGACGATTCTAAATATTGATGAAAACAGCTCTTGTGGGGTACGTTTTGAGAAAAGTCATTCTTTAAAAGATGGTAAACGTTAATAATAGTAGGAATCTAAGACACTGAACAATCTGTAATATTTTAACTTTTTGTTATTCTTTGTTTTAAAGGATTTAATGAGATCAGATGACACAGAAAATCGGCAAAATAAAGGCATGGAAAGTCTCCAAAAAGCAGAATTAGTAATTGAGGAGTTAAAGGAAAAGCTGACAAATAAAGAACAAGAGGTTCATGCACTATCCTCTGAACTCACCAAAGTGGTTAGTCTTACCAAGGTTTTTCTATAATTTTTATGATTGTTTACAGTTATGTGTTTGAGCCATTCATGCTTATATCGAAGAGTTTGAATTAAAATTTGTAGATCGTTTATGATGAATGATATCTGGTCACTTGTTAATATCATGTGTTTTTAGAAATCAGAACTGATGAAGAATGAGCATGAATTAATTGCAACCAAAGATTCTCTAGCAAAGACTCATTTGTTTATTGATGAACAGCAGAAACATGCGGAGGTCACTTAATAAATCTTAAGCCAGCATGCATCAAATGTGAACTTTTGTTCATACATATTTTATCATTTAGGGAGTACTTTTGTTATCGGAACAGTTACAAAATGAAAAGGCTACGGTTTCAAGAGCTATTGCACAGAATCGAGAACTTAAGGAACAGCTTGTCGAATTGCAGGACAAATTGGTTACCGTTACGCAGGTTTGAAAGAAGATATTTTCTCAGTCATAAAATCATATGTTGTTCTCAGTACTTTGTATTGAAGAAGTTTCATAGAACCCATTTTAAGTATCTGTAAAACGTGATATATATTTATATGTATACTTTCTTGAATTTAGCACGTACTAGAGTAATTTATGTTTAAATATAATTCAGGAAAGCATGGAAAGGGAAAGTGGAAGATTAAGTGCACTTCATTTAGTTGATCAGCTTAAAAATGAGTTGAATTCGCGTGAAGCCCAGCCGCCTTGCGTTGAAAATAATTGTCACAATCAGTTTTCCGATTTACGTGAACCTGATGAGGTATTTTATTTCTGTTGAAGACCTATTATACCAAAAATTTTTTGATGTTGCCAAAAATTTGTGAGGAGTTAATTTTGCATTCTTTACTTTTTATAATTTGACGTTTGTGAAGCATGTGTTCAAACTGAGTCATGTTTGTAACTCAGTTATTTAAAGAAAAAATTCCACTCTACGTCATCTGATTTCTTGTTTGTCTTGTTTCCAAGGAGTGACAACAGATGTTTTGTTTTTTTTTTCTTGTTGCATATTTTGAATTTGTGCTTATCTTCAAAATTTAATGGTCAATATTTTCTCCTGTAGCTTCGATTTTATAACTTTCAGACGGTTTCAACACCATCAGCTTCAGAATGCTATGATCGTGATGTGTCACTTTCTCATACGGAAGATACTCAAGCTCGTACAGAAGTAGAATTAGCCAATGTGAAAATGATTTTAGATGATTTGAGACTTGAGCATAGAAGGGTGGCACAAGAAAATTCGGAATTAAGGAGGTTGATTATGATCGTTTATTTTGAATACTGTTGTGCTGTTCGTTGCTTTATGTCTTTGGATGGATTAAGCTTCTTTGGAAATATTTTTTCCGTTAGTTTTGGAAATGATTAATATTTTTTTCCATTTTTTCAGAATAATGGAGCAAAATTCTGAAGATGAAAATCAAAATAATATTCACGTTGAGCTTGGACAAGCTGTTGAAAGGCATTGCTTTCATATTTTCTGTTAAAAGTTGTTTCTGTTCAAGTTCGTAATTTTACGATTTATTATAGCTTGCAATGGATAATTGCTTGAAAATTTAACAGTCATGTTAATTTATTTATCCACCCAGTTTATCGCCTATTGATTGCTTATAGTTTTGGTTTTTGATGTTATTTGATATTATATATTATAGGATTAATACATTATCCACAGAGAACGAGCAGTTACGTAATAATGTTCAAATGTTACAAAACGAAATAGCAGTGCGTGCTGAAGTGATGCTGTCCTCTGTTCAGTCCAGTAGTGATGTCAAACGGTTGAAATGTTTGTTTTTCCAACTTTACGAGTTAATCTCCGAAGGAACTTGAAAAATGCATTGGTTATACCGCATGTTTCATCATATTTTTGTCAAACTTTTTGTGATTACAGTACTACTTATTATTATTATGGTAGAAATTCTATCAGTTATCACTGATTTATTTATTTTTTCTTAGTTAGTGTTTTTAGCGCTTTCTATAGAAGAAAAACCATTGGCTTGGACAGAACTGGAGGCTCGTTTTACTCGAGCAATGCTACAAATAGCAGACCTTGCCGAAGAAAAAGAACGGCTCCAGCACATTGTTATGCAGCTAGAAACTGAAAACGATACAATTGGTGTGCAAATGACACGTTAATTATGTTCTATGCGTAAAACTTTTATTGTTGATTTTATTAATCTTTGGAGTTCTGTGAAGAGTGTTTGTAGGCGATTACGTGACTCTGTATCAACATCAAAGAAGAAAAATTAATGAAAGAATACGGGAAAGAGAAGAAGCGGTCGCGAAATTGTCGTTTGAGAAAGCACAAGTGCAGGTATTTGTCAACGTTTTGCCGTCTTTTTCTCAGTTTCGTGCAAAATTTTTCAATCTCGAGAGTTGAGAAATATTGATAGTTTCCATTGCATTTCTCTCTGATAATATCAGTTTGACACACAAATTGTTGAATGATACGAAAGCCTTGCTTTCTAATACTAGAAAGTACAACGAAGTATCCACTTTTGACATTCTAGAAGTTTGCATTTTATTGGTTGATTTGATTTGGCTTTTAGCAAAAATTAAACGAATTACAAGAAACGTTGGTAAATTTGCTGTCGAAAAAAGGGTTGTTGCATCCTTATGATTATAATAAGGAGCTAGGTGGAAGTCGGAGCATACATTTAAAACAATCCCAGAAAATCAAATCCAATAGGTTGTTCCAGTGTCTTTTTAGTTAGACTTAATTTATTTTTAGTAGTAATATTTAACTATTGCCTCTGTTTCGTATAATTTAATTTCAGACATAATACTGCTAATAGTTCTCCTAATAATGAAAAGATTATTGGCAATGCAAAAATGATTGTTCCCAACAGTCCCGATTCGTGTATTGAGAGCATAAACGATTTTGAGACGGAGAAACTCAATGATGGTGAGTTACAGTAGAGTTTAAAAGGACTTTTCTTTCTCTTCATGTGCAAGAAACTATCTACTTACCACTGTTTTTTTTTAGGCATTTTCGAGCATGAAATCAAGGAGTATATTTCAGATAATGATGATGGTGTACAAGGAATTTTAAATCTTATATCAGAACTTCAGGTGACACTTAATATATATGACCAATTTTCTCATACAAGAAGTGAATTTCATTTCATTCCCTTCACAGATATATTACTAATAAAGGAGTTGGCGTAGATTATTTCAATGATATTTTAGCGAACGAGTTGTAACTTGTAATTCAATTCATGAATTTTTCTTCCGTGCTAAAATGTCTGTATAATTATGATTCGGTGAGTTCAGATCATTAATATAAAAATGTTTTGCGAGCCTCAGGTGTAAGCTGTAGCGTTGCAGATGAAGGAGCTGTTGACAAATTATAAGAAATGTTATCTTAAATATTATTTATAGGATTTGGAGCGTTCAAGAATTCTCCCACCACGTAGTCCAAATTTGCACTGTAGTGAGTGTCGTGGGAAGCTGATAAATTTGTAATCGTTTGAAACCTTAGTTATATTGCAATTTAATTTTGTTTCATACTTGCAAATGTATAATTGGAGCGTTTTTTGTTGATGATGTATCACAAAAATTGATAATTTAAAATCTTTATCTGTTACCGTATATCTACAGTTTTTCGTATCAGCAGTTTTTAAAGCGTACTTCCTTGCTTTCATTTGTTTTTATTTTCTTGCTTTTTTGCTTTTCATATCGATTATGATGGCACAGTTTTCTATAGTAATTTATAAAATGGTCAAAGTAGAGGGTTTGACAAGAGAAATGAAATGGATAGCATGAGATATTAATAAGTTGGTTTCTAATGGGAGTTGAACAAGTTTTGTTTGAGTATATATTGATATATGGGTTTGTACTTTTGGTAGTAGATATTGATTATCTATTTTTCTGTATTTCGCGGCATCTTTTAGTGGTGTTTTAACTGCTGTTTTTTCATAGTGTTTATCAAAACTATTTGCTTTACTTTGTATTTACTTGAGAATGGGGTTAACTGGATTTCACTAATATTCCGTTCTATCCAACTTTTTTTATTATCAGTTTTAGTCCAAATGAATTTCTCTGCGGTTTTGATTGCGAACGATTGATTCAGTAAAATTTATTTCCCACCCGAGTGTTACCATTTTTTTTAATTGTTAGTATATTAGTCGATACATTCATCCTAATATATTTCGGAATGTATGATCAAGAATTTCGTAAATAAATGTACCGAAATTCTTCTTTCGTTATTGTCTCCGGGTTCTGGAATTTAGAGTAGGTTGTTCCAGTGTCTTTTTAGTTAGACTTAATTTATTTTTAGTAATATTTAACGATTGCCTGTGCTTCGTATAATTTAACTCCAGACATAATACTACTAATATTTCTCCTAATAGTGAAAAGGAAATAGGACTTCGGTTCTTTTTGCATGCAGTTTCGGACGTGAATGTACCTGATTATTCTTCGATGCTTGTAAATACTCATATTTATTGTATTTTCCATGTTATACGCTGAACAAAGCGTATGAAAGTATAAAATTTCTTGTGTTTGTTTGGATTTGAGAAATTGAGCGCGATTTTTCTGAAGAAAGGTGATTGTGATGGGATTGCGAAAATTGCCTCCACAGTCTTCCGCTAAGAAACAAGATTGTTCTTAGTTCCTTGTCCCCAGACGACGTTTGTATTTTTTGAATTATTTCTTTCAAATGCAAGTGCAATTTTTTGAAGGCATTTCCAGATTTCAGCGCACTAATTTATCAAGAAATGCGATTACACTGTCTTGTATTAATTGACTCATTGCTGAGCAGCAGTGTTTGTACAGTTCGAGGGAGATACCGCAAGAAAATATTGCTGCTAAGGCATGGGAAGACTAAAAGGGCTGGCCATTGTGAATTGGTGATTATTAATTCTCGAAAACAGATGGAAAAAGTACTTCAAGTAAGTTCTGTAATGCATGAATGTTGTTCGCTCAGTCTTTAAGTTCGTAGTTGTCAGCTATTTTGGTTTACGAACAAAAGAGTAGTGATGTGAAGTGGCAGTTAATGTTTCTGTGTCGAACGGTTTCTCTGTTACTGTTATTAGTTGTTATTATCTATTATTATTAACTATGTTATTGACCACTGCTATTATGATTTGCAGATTAATTCATGCAGTGTTAGGCGATTTCATTTTAAAAGTGCAGTTTGTGGATGTGTTACGATTGAGCTACAAAATCCACCTCTTATAATCTGTATTAAAGAGGTGATTTTAAGGAATTATTCTTGTGTTGGTTTCTGATATTGTTTGAATATTCCGATACTATCATCGAAATATTGAGTACTTTTCTAGGTTCTATGCATCTTCAGATGCTATTCTAAATTATTGCATAAATTCATTTTTATTCGGACAACACGGTGATTATCAAGAATTAGTGGACCTACATTTGTAATAAAATTTATTCTGGCATGATAAGACTGATGATGTTGTATACTGTTGATTTGCAAGCATGGAAATAAACTAAAGTTTTAATCAGTATTATTTTTAGGCTCCAGTATTTTCGCTAAGAAATTTTGTGGTGAAAATACAGCAAGTTTTGAGAGGTGAATTAGTGGTTCTTGAAGATGTCAAAGGAATTCCATCAATGGATTTCGCATTTCCAGTGAAAAAACTGAACATTTGCAGTCAAAAGGACTACGAGGACAACAAAAGAGGATTTCCTTCTAGCTTGCAAGTATTCTATTTCTTATAAGTTGTACATGTGATTGATGTAGTTCATCAGACTTTCGTTTTAATTTAAAAAATAGTTTTTCGATGAAACAATCTGAAATGTGATGTGTTACAGGAATTAACTGTGTCGAATATTGGTTTGACAACAGTTGATAGTCGATGGTTTGGAGCTATTAATCTTGTTCGACTTGATCTCAGCAGTAACAAACTTGGTTGTTCAGATATATTTCAAACCAAATTTTTGAATATTGCTCGGCTGAAGCTACTTAAAATACTTATACTGTCTGGGAATGAAATAGAATGCATTTCGGTGACTACTTATGTTTTTTCTCGTTAGATCTCATTAGGTAAATGAATTGCAGACAAATATAATAAATTACTAAAAATTGTTCTTGTTAAATGCTTGCTCTCTTTTAAAGGTTTGAAAGCTCTTGGTCAAATGATTTTATCTTAGTAGCCTTAATTATATTCTGTTGTTCAAGTTAATTAATTTGTTAAGTGGCAAGTATGGTTTTTGTTACACTTAATTTTTAGGATGATCTATGGCGTGCTTTACCAGAAAAACTTACGGTTTTAAATTTATCAGCTAATCGAATTTCCTTTCTGTCGCCGTGTTCTATGCGATTTCCGTTTCTTACTCATTTATTTCTCTCTGGGAACAAGATTGAAGAATTACCGCGAAATGTATGTTTATTATCCTCGGCGATGAGACCAACAAAATAATTGTTGTCTTACCGTTATTTCGTGAGAGCGTATGATATTGAACATTATGTGTTTTGTAGTTATCAATTTTTCGTGATTTTTCTCATGAAACCACTTTTTATATTTTTGAAAATTATTTGATAAGCTTGTACGAAAACCAGAATTGGGTTTGAATGGCTTTTAGTATTTTCAGCTTATATTACAAAGTCTATTGTTTCTACGTAATTATATTTAAGAATAACACAATTTAGAAAAAAAAATGTGCACTCAGTCTCTTATAAAACTGGTATCATTTAATGAGGCGTCCTGTTTTGAGTCATGGGACTTCCAATTATCTGTAAAATGTTTTGCTCGTTAATTATATCTTTATGATTCATATTTTCATGAACTTTGGCTCTTTTAATCAAAAAACTAAATATTGTCTTTTTAAGATAAAGAAATTGAAAAATTTACGGTTTCTGGATATCAGTTACAATGCATTGAAGTTTCTTCCACATGAGATCAAATCCTTATCACTTGATACACTTGATATCACAGCTTATAATAGGGAAGAAGTTCCGAGAGTGCAACGTTTGCTTTCTGAACTTGATCAAAGCAAAAAACAGCTAATCAGAGTTGGATCTCTATTCGAGTGTGCAGCAGCTGCCATTTTGAATCAAGGGTTGGTCTTGGAAAAGCTGATTTTTTTTAACGATTTAGGTTTTTTTGCAAATGATTTCTTTAAACATATTAACTAAAGTTATTGCAGAATCGATCCATCTCCTTTGCCGAAATGGTTGTATTCGGTGATGGTAAAATCAGCTGAATATTGCACCAGCCCAACTGGGAAGTCCAAATATTTTCCTGCCAGCATAGTTGCGAAGAAAGTATGTTTGTTTATCCTACCTAATGCACTGTATTATGATATGAAAATGCAACTAAAACATTTTTATCAACTCATTGGTATTTATAATCAGGAGCGCAATCGTATTTCATGTGTAGTTCGTTAAGTATAATCAAGTTTCAGAATATTTTGTTTTGAATGATAACTGTTATATTTTGAAGTTGCTGTGAATTTTGTGATTCTATTTATATATGCTGAACTATTTTAATTGCAAAGTGTGTGGTATGAGAACTAGCTTCTAGCTTCTTTATTTCTGTATTTTTTTTTTCAGTATTACGTCGAAGACGCCCGATCTTTTTCAATTTCAGTGATTTCACGCGATCACTATCATGTGATTTTACAAGAATTTATTGCGCCGTGATCTCATCTAGCATTCCCGTTTCATGATATTGTACTTTGTTTACTGATATTCTTCATTTGGCCCTTTGGATCCAACTCATCGTTTTACTTCTGCTATATTCATTTTGAACCATCTAGTTGATTTACTCTCTTTTAGTAAATCCTGATAAATATTTATCATCATTGTTTTCACTGCATTTTAGAAGTAAACCATCGAGTTACCTGAATCTTGCAAAATATTGGATTTTATCAAGACAAAACATCATTTGTGAAATATACAAATTGGTTCCGCAGATCTTATAATTAATTTGTATTAATGAAATTAGATTTATATAGTGTATAAATTGTTGATGAGCGATTGGGTTTGTGAGTTCAGCTTTGCTTATAGAAGTGGTATTGCTTTGATATTTAAAAGTGCTGGAAAGATAGTGTTCATCATAAGTATTTCTTATTTTGTTCTCTCGAACTATCAAGTAACTATAATGATGCATGGAACGATTTTTCGGAAGTTGCGCATTATCCTCCTGTCTCATTTGATTATTCTTTCAAGCTGATAGTGCAAGACGTGTTGGTGATGGATCCGATGCAGATTTTAGAAACGAAGATTTATGACGTTGGATTACTGTTACACGAAGCTGATGTATCATTGCAAAGTGTTGAGGGCGTTGAGAAATTGAAGCGGAAATTGCAAGTCGAGATGGAACTTTTGCTTAATGTGAGTTTATAAATAGTTGTGATGTATTTTATTGACTGTGCTTTTACATATCAGTGGAGTTCATTTTTACAGTTGAAAGATAAACCGATCAGTGTAATGAAACGAAATTTGGTTGCTAGTAATTTGGTACATTTCCGAGGCTTGCTTGATGTGGCGAGAAAGTATTCGTGTTCTTCCATTTATAAGAGTTTCTTCATACCTCAACGGTTCCTCTTTTCTTATTAATTTCGTTTAAATAATAAAATTTTTTGATCCATAAGGATTATTATTGTCTTATGCTGTTTTTCGGTGTTCGAGCTTTATGCGAAGTTAATTTTTAGAAATATAAAAAGAGAAGTTGACTTGGTGGTCGATGATGGTGCAGCCTGGGTATTTTTCAAAAATTTACTCTTATATATGCCTTTTTTTTTTCGTTCCTGTTTGGTTTGGAACCTTAAGATTTTTTTCACAACTCGATATTTGTTCGAATCGTTATTTCCTTTCGTAAAAAAAAACATTTGTGAATATTTTGAGGAAGATATAAAAACCTGTTTATTATCCTGTTTGTTTTAAATTTCAATTCAGTCTTTTAAAATCTATGGTTGAGGTCAAAGTTATATCAAAGAATGTTCGAAGCCTTGCCATGGATTTTGTTGGTGCCAGTGCAAGTTCCAGTCGGTCGATTACTGAACAAGCGCTTGATTATGTTGAGGTGTCTTATTTTTTGCTTTATTTATATTGTTTATGAAACTAAGTTCAGAAAGGTTTCACTTTCGGGTTTTAAATAATGCATTATATTTAGATGGCTCGCAATCATCCGTATTTCTTCAAAGTTCCAAAAATTATATTTGAATTCGTTAACGGTGTTCCAGACTTGTTGCGACGTAAACTCGTGTCATTTGGAATTAATGTTATTGGAAATGAGGGAAGTTTATCAGTTTTTACAATAATATGTTCATGGAACAGTTTTTTGATTTTTCATTTACCTGAGAGAAAATATAAAAATTACGAACCTATGACAGAGTCTTGATGAGTTTGCTGTGAATCTGAACAGGAATTAAACGCTAAATCATAGTTGTATGCGTGGTTTCCAAACATTAGTTTCTATTTGCAACCCGTTTGTTGCTAACACTTCTTGTAGTGTAGTTACAATGTCTGCAGAAATTTATTTTTTGCCGAATTAGATTTTATTTTGTCATTGATTTAGGTGGACATTAACGGTCTTGTAAAACTGCCTGCTGATTTTGATTTGAGTGATGGAGATACTTGCGGTAATTGTAGTCCATGTTTTTTGGAGAATAGTAGCCCAGAAATGGAAACTATGAACGCAGTCAATCTTGATATAAGTTCTGTATTCGTTCTTATTTCGTCTTTGACGCATGGCAGTGGTGCAAATCTCACATATAGTAGTCGCCTGTTAAATGCTCAAGCGACTCTGGAAAGAGAGAAGCCTGCTCTTCCTTTCTTATTAAAAGTTATTGACGGTTTGTTTACAATCGTTTTTTATAATTAGGATATCCAAAAAATGGTTTAAAAGTCCGAAGGTTTGAAGGAATAGTTTAAAATTTCTGGTCTTCATGATTACATTTGATTTTTTTCAGACTATGTGGTATTCATTGTGACATCAAATTTTTAAATTTACCTATTTTCAACTGTTTTGGATTTAGGGAAACGGTTACTTATCTGTCAATCTGCGTACAATGCTGTAGAGTCAATTCTGAGTACAGTCGCTGGACCAGAAGAAAAAAAGCGTGCCAAAGCATTATTCGCAAAGGTTGAATTGGTAGATGATAAATTATCGGAGCAGGCAACCAAGCTGAAATTGACTGATAAAATCAGCGAACGATCTAAAGCAAGTTTTTACAGATGGCATCACTTTATTATTAGTCTTTCAAATCTTCTAAAACCCTAAAGTTTTCAGAAGCACTTCTATGAATGATGACACAGTGCAGGATATGATGTTAAAATCTTTATTTTTTTGCATGTGCGATATATTGTGCACTCCTCAATTTCTATATTTTCATACGATTTGATGTACGTTTACCCTCAGTATTGACAGACCTTCTACTGAATAAAGTTATAGAAAGTGAAGTTCATTTGATAGCAAATTGTTTGTTTTCAATCTAATTTCAGATAATATTTGGTTCGGGTGATTATTACAAAGCTGTTACGGTCACTGCCAATCGTCATTTTGTTCATGCAGCTGCTAATCAGGTTTTTTTTTCATTTTTTAAACCGGAAGGTTGCAAATATGAAAACAAGGAATATTATATTCACTGTTTAGTATAAGTGAAAGCTGAAAAATATTGTTGATTGACATTTAAATGATAAATGATTTGTTTGATACAATTTTCATTCGTAAATGGACTCGGTGCTATTTGATGTGTTCTCTCATTTGTATTAGTGAAATTGTTGCAGGGCATCCATTTCGCTGCCATTATTCACGAGTCAAGAGCATTAAGTGAAAAGAAGCAAATAGAGCAAGTAGATCCTCATATTTGATCTTCGGTTTTTATTGTATTCGTGCACCTCAAAATTGATGAAATAAATATTTGAAATCAATATCTGTTGCATTTATCAAGCTTGATTTTGCTGAGCATTATTTGTTTTTTTTGTAATGATTCATATAACAGTATGTGGTGATAAATTAAGAGTATTTAGTATATCTCTGGAATCTACTGTAAAATTTCATAAATCCATAGCTAATTTTTCTAACTTCTTTTGATGAACTCGCTAAACACAAATCTTCCTATAAAACTTCTTCGAACCATCGATTGCAATCAGGGTGCTGTTAGGGCTGTTAGATTCAACGGTTTGCTTTATTTCTATTGATCTGTAATTTTGCATCTCTTAATTACATTCCTGATCAATATTTTATGAAGAATGTCACTTTTGTCTTAAAACTTTTTCAATAGTTTCCATTTTTTTGAATTTAGTGGATGGCAATTACTGCTTGTCGTGCGGTACGGATAAATCAATCAAGCTATGGAACCCATACAAAGGGACATTTTTGAAAACATACACAGGGACGGGATGGGAGGTTTGTTTATTCTTTAATTATGTGAGTTATTTTGCTGTTTTTGCGATGAAATTAAAGTTAGTCTTCTGATAAAAATTCATGTCTTTAATGCACCTGTCTTGATTCCATCTAACCATCGCATCTTTAGTTGTTAAATGAGAATGTACACCTAGTGCAAATCATCAAGCTGTAGAATTGAAAATAATCTGCAGATTACTGGTAATTTCAGCAGATTATAGCTATCATCCTAGAGCAGTAATTTTAAAAGATCCATTTTAAATTTGTTTATTCTAGGTTTTAGATGTACAAGGTTCTAGTGATAATTCGATGATACTTTCTGGTGGTAGAGACAAGCAATTAACAATATTTGATGTTGAAACTGGAAAAATAACGCGGCGTTGGAAGGGACATAATGGTAGCGAAGTCTGATTCTTTTTGTTGAGACTAAATAATTTTTCAGGAATTATTATGTATGGTTTCATATTTTTCTGTTAAAATCATGATAAACTTATTTCAGGACAGATTAATGCTGTAGCTTTTAGTGAAGAATCAACTGTAGCTATATCTGGTTGTCAGGATGGTGTTGTACGATGTTTTGATGTTCGCGATAAAAATGCTCCAATACAGGTCATATTCCTGAATGCTTTCTATCTAAAGTTTGATTTTCATTTTCATTATCATAGGTTTGTCAGTTTTGAAAATCACCAATTATATCTTGCTGATTTCGGCAGAACATAGATGAAGCTACTGATGCAGTGCTAACAGTGGATGTCAATTCACACGAGATAGCTTCTGGTTCAGCTGATGGTAGCATTCGGATCTACAATGTTCGAGACGGAAAAATGGTTGATGGTATTGCATTGAAAAGATTTTTATTACATTGACTTTTATTTCTTTCCCATGATTAGTTTTATTTTGTTTTAGTTGAACTGAAACTAAATCAAAATATGAAATTAAAAAATTTAACCTAAAATAGTTTTCACTTTTTAGATTTCAAGTTCATAATGATTTTTAATTTTCAAATATTTCGATGTGAAGTGAGAAGTTTTTGCTCATCTATATATATTGTTGTCATAATATCTGTCTGGTCAAGATACTATTTTTTAGATTTTTTGGGAGGCAGTGTTACGTCATTACATTTTTCTAATGACGGTCAGTGTTTGCTTGTATCCACCAAAGATGGATTTATTCGCTTACTGGACAAAATAAATGGACAACTATTAGCGGAGTTCTATTTGATTTGTCCAAATTTTATTTCATTTTTGAAAATTTCGATATCCGTTTTTACTGAATTCCTTTTCACCTGTACTGTAATGCTTATTTTTTTGCTTGTTCTAAAGCATCCCAGTTTAAGATTAAATTAAAACTGGTGCGTCTAGAATTAACTTAAATGGTATACGCTAACATTTTAGGAGATATGGCATTAATTATAAAAATTCTATGATATTAGTTTATTATTACTCATTCAAAGTACTTGGGCACGAGGAATTACTCTCAAAATTTGAGTGGGAGACTGGTATTTATTTTCTTTCTAAGAACAGTCATGTATTTTAGATACACTAGTCATGTAAATAGTGAATACCGAGTTGAAAGTTCTTTTCTCGCAACTGATGCGCACGTTGTCAGTGGTTCTGAAGATTCTTATTTATATATATGGAGTTTGATTGACGTAATTGGATTCTTTGTTCTATTATATTTTGATTTTTATTTTTCGCGACCTTTCATGACACTGTAAATATAAGAGTTGATAATTGAAAATTTTTAAAAATTGCTAAATAGCAAATTTATTTGGTTCTTAATGTCTTTCTACTTATTTATCTAGAATAAAAATTTTCAGATGAAAGTGTTGCACAAGTTACCACATCCAAATTCGATTGTGCATTCAGTTAGTGTACACCCGAAGAAGCCCTCACTGTTATCCGCATCAACAACCAACATATTTCTATGGGGACTGTCTGAAGAAGATGATGATGAGACATAAATGAATGGCACTTTTTTTAATTGCCTAGTTCTCTACAGTAATGAATAAGTTAAATATGTTCCAATTTTTCTATTGCTGATAAATCTTATGCAGCATTTGATATGTGGTGATAGTGTGATTTAAAACTTCGAGTATTATTTCATCACGCCGCGGTTTGCATTCAAAGCTTCATTATTTTCACTTCATATTGTCTACAATGCAGCGATAATTTAAATGGCGGCGGGAACACAAGTCATGTGAAGTCAAAATTATACACATACTAGGTCATCATAAATTCTGTAAGAACGACTACATACTTGGCAATATTTGCGGCATGTAATTGTCCTTAACCGTACAAATATTCCGATTTTTAAATTGATTGACTTGAATCCCTGAGGTGGATTGACGTAATCCCGTTTAATGTATAGTTCATAGAGTTATAATCGATCTACTGTTATTTTTGAATTCGAAAATGAAATTTATTTCTTTGCTTTATCAACTTTCGAACCAAATGATGATCTGTGGAGTCCAGAGACAAAGTTTGTACTTCGAATTAGTACGTGCAAATTTACATTAGAGATAGTTCAAATTTCATAACTTCCCAATAACATGAATCTTTTTATTGGTAGTGATTCGTGTAGGATTTCGTGAATAGTCTGAATTACTAGTACTGCGCATATACTTAATTAATTTGCATCCCTTTCGTAGGCCGCTTTTTGAAGACCACGGAAATAAAAGTAATCCGTTTGAAGTGGTTTAACGCTCTTTCGATCAAGATGCCATCAAACGATTTGTTTAATACCAATAAGTTCAGCTATATTTGTAGGCACTCTTAATCGTTCAAGTACCATTTTATAGTCTGGTTTGCCCGTTCAATGCCATGAATCAAAAAGCTTAATGTTTAACGCAATTACTAACAGTTGCCATTTGGATAAATTCAGAACTGTGAAAGTTCTTAATTCACTTTTTGTCGTGAAACAAGCCTTTTTCAGGTAATAGCAAGTATACAAACAACTATGGTAATGCTCAAGTACTGCATGGTTAAATTCAGGTTTTGGTGGAAAATCACAAAAAAAAACAGAACTGTGAAGTTTTAGGACACAGTAGCAATTTTGAAAAATAAAAGGTGTCCCTTACCTCAAGTAAAACAAAATATTTTGATGTAGCAGAATGAACTGCTGGAGATCGCAATAGCAATGGAGAAATTAAATCTTTATTAATAAACTTCGTAGTTAAGTACACCAAATAATTGTTGATATTCATTCAATAAAGAAAATGATGATTGCAAATCATTTATTTGAGGCTAACGTAATGAGGTCAATATATCACGCAATATATTCGATTTTTCTTGTATTTATTTGGTATTTACGCATGGTACATAATTACAGTATCAACTTGCACCATTTGGCCACCAACTTCTCACCCTCTGAGCTCGCAAGTAAATTAATTTCTTTTTGCATCTGCTTAATTGGTGCTTATGGTTTCTTTTGTGCTTTTAAATTAATTTTTGTCCTTTGGATAAACAATATGCAAAAATGAAATTTCATGACGTTGAAGGTCATGAAAACGATACTAATTGAAATCCATAGCGCACTTGAATTGAACTATTTTCTGTGTTGTGTCCTCAATTAGTAATATACCAGTAATTTCCATTTCAAATTATGCATTAATTTTGGTACATTCAGCTTTTTTCTGTTAGAATTACATCTGCTTAAAGTGTTAATCCATTATTCATTAATTAATTTACATTATACTTTTCACACTTACAATATCTGTGTAACTGTAACTCGATTAATAATTAATAGCAATTAATAAAAGTAACTAATAAAAATAATAACTAATAATAATAGTAGCACTGCAAATAATTTAATAACAAAGATGAAGTAACGATAATGTTGAAAAATTTTTCATACATACACAAATATGCCGAAATTTATGCAAATAATTTTTCCTCATTTTACTACTACTTAATTTTATATTCAAATTATAAGTCTATCATGGCCTATTTTGGCTAATTTGTTATAAAACTAAATATCACAAAGCGCGCATAATTCACGCAATTTGAAATTATCGCGGCACAATTGCAAGGGTTTGCAAAAATTTGAATATCATTTGAAACTAATATGAAAAGTTTCGCCAGCTATGCTTATATATTAATTATATTCATTGAATTTTCAACTACTCACCGTGGACAAACTTTGCTTCTCATCGTTAATAAGAATTATTTCACTTGAGCAGCTGATTGAAATGTTTTCTTTGCTTTTGGGAAATAGAAGTTGAAAATTACAAGATACTATAACTTTCAAATACCTTTATTAACTGCAAACTCATATATATATATATATATA